CAGGGCTCGAACCCACATACCGTGAGATCATGACCTGAGCCAAAGTCAGAGGCTTAACCGACTGAGCCAGGCATCCCACCCAATACTATTCTTTTAAAAAGTCTATTTAAACATTCAAACAGAGAATCATTGCAACCAAGGGAATAGGAAAACTGCTTCAGCATAACTTTAGCTGTAGCTCCTTTCTTATGTTCTGTTGTGTTTGTTTGTTTAAGCAGAAGGAAAGGAAAATTAGCAAAGTGGCCTGGAATATGGTGTCTGGATCTGAGAGTAAGAACACAAAGTGCAGCTGTACTATGTGCAAGTCTATGATTCTGGGCACATTAATTAGCTGTCTGTACCTCAGTCTTCTCATCTATCTAATCATTATACCTAAGGGATACATAATTGTTCCAGAATCAAAGGACTGTTCTGAATATTAAATTGCACAGTATAAACATTCAACATGCTATCTAGCAAATAGGAAGTTCTTAATCAATGTCACTCACTATGATTATGACAAATATTTATTCACTTAACAGTGTTTATTGAGTAACTACATGCTCTATGATAGGGACAAAATGATGAGCAAAATGGAAATAGTCTGTCCACTGGGCAATGTTTTTAAATTTTTTTTAATGTTTATTCATTTTAGAGAGGGAGGGGGGGCAGAAGGAGAGAGGGTGATACAGAATCCAAAGTAGGCTCCAGAGTTCAAGCTGTCAGCACAGAGCCCTATGCAGGGATTGAACTCACCAACCATGAGACCATGATCTGAGCTGAAGTCTGATGCTTAATAGCTTTATCAACTGAGCCATCCAGGTGCCCCAGGGCAATTTTTGTTAGAGACAAACAATAAAAACAACATAGATATTAATATGCAGTTACAGGTGACAATGAGAAATTGAAAAAAAAAAAGTAGAGAGTATTTAGTTACTCCAAGAATATGGAATGAGCAGATGCAATAAATTTTTAAAAATTTAAATTAATTCGCCTAGGGGATCAACGGATGCTTCTCTGAGAAATGTACAAAGCTCTTAATCAAGACATCTCAATGATAAATAGGAATGAACTCAGAAAAGGGTGGGTTGAGGGAAGGAGAGCCAACATGCAAGGAGACAAAACAAGTTTGCGAGGCCCAAGATAGAGAAAAATATTAAGGGAGGACACGGAGTCTGGAAGACAGAGGGTAAGAGGGAGGTTGGTGAGGGAAGGGCCTTGATAATAGACAAGAGACAGATCATCCAAGGTCCATCTGTGCAGTGTATGGATTGTGGTCAGACGGTGGTGGCAATACTTAAAAAAAAAAAAAAAAAAAAAGGAAAAAGAAAGAAAAGGAGAATATGGGTGTGGCAAAATAGTTCATATTTTCATTTTAAATTTTTCATTCACTCCACTATCAGAGAATGGATTATATGTGGCAAAATTAATGAGTGAGGATGATGCCAATGGCAGTGGCAGAAGCTGAGTTGAAAGGGGATAGTATATTGGAATTAGGTGCAAACAATGGAGATGGAGGGATGTGGCACAGATAGAAGAAGGGAATTTTTGAAGAAAAAGTGACAGTGCTTGGTGGAATAGTGAAAACAATGGAGAAGAGCATGTTGGCAAATATGACCCTGAATTTTTGGCTTGTACAACCTAATGCATGGAAAGCTGTTCTCTGAGATAAAGAAGGAAACTGAGCAAGAGAGTGGGGGACATTTATGAGTTCAGTTTTGTACAATGTTGTATTTATATTGTGTCTGTGATATCCACAAGAGAGGTCAAGCAGAGAGGTGGGTGTGTGAAACCAGAGGTCAGGGGCAGGTCCAAATTTTGAGATACAAATTTCGAGATTCAGGTTGTGGACAGCAGTTGAAACCATGGAATCAGATGACTGCATTCCGTGAGAACTGAGAAAACTAAAAAAGGAGGCAGTTGACCATGACATCTCCTTTCCCACTCACATTACTACAAACCGTGAAAATATAAATATTTCTCTTTGGTTCTTAGATTACTACCTATAGAACTTTGGATAAAAATATCCACACCAAGAATGTATGATAATCTGAATAGCTAGATTACATACTTTCCAACAACTAAGTTCACAATGAAGTAGAGAAAATAAATGACTAATCACATAGATGAGGAACCTATTACCATAGTCAGAATTCTTACTGGTGTAATGGTTAAGGTATTAGAATACTGAGATTTCTTTATGTATGCCTAGTAGGGTGGGACCAGATGAGGTCTGGGTTCAGGTAATAAATTAGTTTACCAGTGGCTTCCTGCTGCCTTTATGTTTAAACTCCATTATAGTTTCCCAGAATTCTGAGATTACAGGAAGTTTTCCCTTGAACATCCCCAGCAGCTGTTTGAACAAGTGAAACCAACTGAGTGACTTTTACTTGTCTAAACCAATCTTCCTAACTAGCATGAAACCAAATGAATAAACAGAAGATCAGAAAATGAAGAGAAAAGAAAGGGGTCAGCTCTTGTTTCATACATGAAGATTAATTTAGCATGGAAGTCACAACTGATAAAACAAGATGCTAAATATCAAATGGGACTTCACAGTATGGTTAGATAATAATAACTCAAGTAATCAAAATTATCATGCGGGGTTTAGGTGGTTTATGTACTCACTGATCAATATAAACACTATGTAGATTCCCTGCATGTGCTAAGATAGAAACAAAAGAAAATGCACATTACTGATTATTTTACATATTATTTTGCATTCAGTACTTTGGAAATTCTGTCTTTTCTGAGAAGTGAACCCTATTCTTACCACATATTAAAATTCATATATATAATTATAATATATATGCAATATCTATATATGGCTAACTCAAGTCTAGTAGCATGGTTTTAATCGATCATGAGCACAGAACCAATGCTCTATGAAGGTTTGGAAACTCATGAAATCCACACTATCAGTAATAACTCCTTTTTCCAGTGAGAAGCTCAAATTTTTCTAAACTATTTATGTCTTAACACAATTTTAAAAATAAAATTAGACCTGATTTTTAATATTTTAAACATGCAAGAACTCATAGGAAACCATCATTCCAGTAGCAAAGATGGTTTTGGTGGGACTTGCTTATATTCAGAATTCTTTTTATATACAACTCTTTGTGAGTAAAAATGATACATTCAAAAGTGAGGGACCAGAAGTTACATCTGATGGGTGTTTTGTGCCTAAGTGTTCTATTGGTTATGACTTTTATTTTTTTATTTATTATAATTTCTTAAGTCAATATTGTATTAGTATTTTCAAATTCTTCAACTTACATAAAAATCTTCAGAAATTACTCATGACAAATATGTCTCATTTACTTAAAAGTGTATTTGTTGTAAAACAAATTTAAAAAAATTATTAAACATTAGTGTTTTCAGAAGGTCACATATTTTAAGCTGGTTTTAAGACTTTACAGAATTGAAAAAAATAATCTATTTTTTTATAAAGTCTCTTAGTCATAAAATATCAGTTTTAATAAAGTAGTAATTAGTAAATATTTAACATAATGTTTTCTTTTACATATGTAAAATGAATTGCTAAATGCTTATGATTTCTGAAAACTAAAAAAAATGGTTTTAAATATTCTACACTAAAGGAGGTAAAGCTCAACATATTTGATAGAAAAAAGGCTTAAACTATAATAACTAGTAAATACATAAATCAAATTACTTTATGGTATTGGTGGTACCCAAAGTTATAACCATTTTGGTAAAATACCTTACTTAATTGAATAATATATAGACTAATATTTAGGTCTGCTATATATGGGAAAAAAAACTTTGTCATACTTGAAAATTACAAATTAAACTTCCTCCTTTTTAATAAATACATTACATTAAATGTCTTAACATATTAGAGTATATCCAAGGCTCTTCCATATAATCCACATAATTGAAAATTGTAAGGATATTTTTTCATATCTTTAATTTCACATTTGTCAACATCATGAAAGAGCACCTACAGTATTATTTTGTGCATTCCTTTTGTGACTTAATCAACTTTATAAGAAGGTGATTCAATCAACCAGAAGTTTAAAAAGTTGTTTCTGTTTTGTTATTGAGAGGTAATTAAATTTAATAAACATATCCATTATAATTTTCCTATGTTTCCTATGTTTCTTCAATAATGTATCCTGATATCATATGAATTTAAATGCAAATCTTTTCATATCCTCATTATATGCCAAAACTAGTAGTGAATAATGAGTCAATTCTCTAAAAATGTAAAACTCAGAAGTTTTATGTGTCTGAAGGTTTTCTATAAGTCTTGAAGGTAGAATTCTTCTAAAAGAATCTAATATTGGAAATAGACAAAACATAAATGTTGACCTACCACCTAAAGATCCCATCCTAAACCACCAAATAAGAACAGCTGAATGCAAACAGGCTCAGCAACAGTTTAATTCTAAGACTCTGAATAAGGCAAAAGTGAAGACACAGGAAGATAAAAAGGGAAGTTAGAATAGAGAATAACAACACTGCATTTCATGGAAGAATAAAAAAGAGAAAAAGAAAATGCTGCTGTCCAGTAGCCTCCTTTCACGCACCTCATTAGTTCTGGTATATAGATTCAAGACACAGGGATCCTAGATAACACGCTAAGTCAATTTCTAGGCCAGTACATGAGATCCTTGTGACTGGTGTTTAAAACAAGTTTCATCTCACATCAGGTAACGGGAATACTGATGTGACAGAAGACGACAGAAGAACACCATCATCTCAGAAATATGAGACCCACTCCACTGAAAGATTTACCAAAATGCATATATATTCAATTTGTGATTACAACTCTGAAAACTTGCAAAAAGCAAAACCATATGAATGCGCCTGTAGAAATTAATGAGCAAACTTTCAGTGAGATGATATAAACTTGGGTAATAAAAGCCAAGCTGGCATCTCTCAATCAAATTTTTCAACCTGAAACGTTTTAGTCTTAGTAACTACCAAAGCCCACAGGGGAGAGGGGAAATCAGTGGAAACTGGGAGATGCTTGGATGCCCCATGGGGTCTTACTGTACCTGTGTCCACATCCTTCACCTGTTGCCTGGCTTGAGTTGGCCGGCTCCACTTTGAGCTCTTGCAGGACCAGCCCTTTATCGTGTGGTCCAGGAAAGTCCATGCCTGGCACCTCCTCCTCCTCTAGAGACTCCACGTAGAAGAGAGTCCTGGCTGGCTGTTGGGTGCCCTGCCCTGGCGCCCCTTGCTGCAACCTTGTGGCCACTGGCAGCAGGGTGCCATTCAGTGGATTAAAGGAAGAGGAGGAAGACGAAGGGGAGGAAGACGAAGGAGAGGAGGAAGAAGAGGAAGGCTTCTTCCAGAAAGTGCTCACGCTACCCTTCTCTTGGCTTTTGAGCAGGCGGCTCTGACTGGGGCCCCAGTGCTCGAAGCTGCCGCTGCCGTCCTGTTGCAGGCAGCCGCCCCCCGCCGGGCCGCCTGGGGCTGGCGACGGGTGGCTGAAGAGTTTCCAGCGGAGTCGCAGGATGTGCTTCACATCGAAGTCTTTTCTCCCAGAGCCTGACATGCTTGACGCAAGAAGGCAAAGAGACCTCAGCGGGCGCGGGAGTAGACAGAGCAGCTGGTGGGGGAGGCCAGCAGAGCTCGGGGTTGGAGGAGGCGGCGGACTGCGCCCTCTGCACCCCGGGAGCACTCGCGGCGAGGCGGGCTGCGCGCCCTGCTAGGCAACCACCCGAGCGCGGACGGCAGAGCCGCGCCGCTCAGCTGCGGTCAGGTCCGCAAGGACCCGCGCGTGGGGAGTCCACCGGCTGCGAGCAGAGGCAGGAGCCGGACGCAGAGGGCTGAGAATCCTTGATCCGCCCGCGGGGGCCCCGTGGTTACGGCAGGGAGGGACGACCCTGGTGATGGAGGTGCGCGAAGAAGGGAGGTCTGCACGCTCGGAAGCCAGGGAGGCGGCGGCAGCTGGATACACCTCCCTGGGATGCACCCGTGGCAAAACCTCAGTCGGGAAGGTGTCGGCTCTCCTGTCCTTGCAGCTCAGAGTTCAGTGCCTGGAGAGCGCAGAGAGAGAGAGAGAGAGAGAGAGAGGGAGAGCGAGATAGAGCGAGCGAGAGAGAGAGCGCGCCCCAAGTCGCGAAGAAGCGCACCCCCTAGTCTTCTCGGTGCACCTGCGCCCCTGTGCCTGGCCTCTCCGAGGATGCTCTGAGAGCTTGCCGGGTGTCTTTGAGAAAGTCAAATGCCTTCTGCAAGGCGAGAAGGGGTGGTTTTATATAGTCAGTTTGTAAAAGAGAAGAATAAATATTCCAGAAAATATAGGAAGGCAAAAGGAAAAGCCCGCCCGTGAAGCTGTCAAGGTCCTCACAGTACAATTTTCTCTCTGCCTCATCGCCTCCTCCTCCCCTGTAAGTGACGCAGATGTGCACTGGGGCCTATACGGAGAGATGGAGGGAGGGAGGGAAGGCTTCAATCTTCTTTATGCAAGTGAGTCTGCCGCTCTTATTGTCCCCTTGCTAGGTCCTGTCACCTTTTTTCATCCCCCTTCCTCACTACATTACTGTGTGGCAATAAAAGTAAAACAAACAGGCATTATGCTTTAGTATCAGTAAACACCAAACGTGAATCATGGCAACGTGAACTTAATAGGCTGCCATAGGTTTGCAGGTTGCATGTTAAGAGCTTGAATTATTTAATAAACCACATCCTTTAACCTTTAGCCTTGGTTTGTCCGTAGTGAGACACAAGAAACAGTGATGCTGGCATCAAAGAGTGATAATGCCACCATTCTGACACATTGTGATTCTGCCATTAACACACTCAGGCAGCGCTTCGTCTTGGGGTCCAGAGGCGTGCTGGAGAAATTTTAAGATGGGCATCTGAGTGCAGGGGACGACTTTTGCAAAATCAGTGTGTTCGGTGTGTAGCTTTGGAATGAAAGCTGTTGTTCGTGTAAACCAAGCAGTGGAATAAAATGATAAAAGAGAATTTCCAGGCATAACCTTCTGGTGCATAAATCATGATACAGAATGCATAGAAGAGTTTAGGCAATGAACAAATACATCCAAAGGCTACTATCCTGCAAAAATCTCCTGTTTGAAGAAGGGAAGATAGATGTGTTTTCCCTTATACCTATACTTAGAACGATGAGGATTATGATGCCTTTCTAGCTATGACTACTTGGAAATTTTTCATCGTTTTCCTTTAATGAGCCATTAAAATAGAACCCAGTCACCTTTGCTGAAGGCAAAAGGAGGTGAGAAGCAGCAGGTTCCTTAAGTACATGGTGAATGTGGCTGTTGTTCATTTGTGAAACTCACAGCTTCAGCGACCCCCATCAGGGCACAGGGATCACATATTAAAGTGCAGTTATATTACTGTTCTGTTGCCTCTTCTTGAGCAGTAAAGTTAAATAGAAACCAAAGCTAAGTATGAAGTCATTCCTAGACAAAGTTGGCCATTTTAACAAAACAATGAATTAAGCACACAATTTCCCCCCCACTTTCAGGGGAAGAAAAATCACTGATGTGCATTTTAAATATTGATTTATGCCACAACAGCTGGACTGCAATCCCCAGTGCCTTGATTTTTTCTTTCAGTATTCATTGTTTAAAAGAAAAGAGAGAGAGAGAGAGCGAAAGAATAAAAAAAAAGTCCTTTAAAGCAACAATGGTGACAGATCATTTTTATCCAAGAACTGAATCAAGCAAGCATTTCCCTTAGGGAAGAAAGCAGTGTATGAAATTACACATCACAAACAGGACAGAGAAACTTTCCATCAGAGGTAATGTAGAAATTTCAGATGCAGCAAATTAAATGATTTATATAGAAATTCGTGCTTCATATATTTTCTAACTTGAAATAATTTTAACTTAATTAAAATAACAAAAATACAAGGCTGTCATATGCATATATTCTTCATTGATTAATATCTATAAACTTTCAAAAACTGTAATATAAAATTCATTTTTGTTGTCATTCTGAAATTCCATTTTGTATGCCTCTTTTACTCTACAATACTGGTATTACTATTATATAGCTTAAAAGTCTATTTGAAAGAGTAATTTATATGATCCAAAAGAAATATATATTGAGTTTCATTATAAAGGAACATGAATTAAAAAGAGTAAGGCATATTTAACAAATGATGACCAATGTAGTTACTGTGGTAGTGATATTTTTTATGCTTTGTCAGCATTTGGTGGTCTTATAGTGATATCTTATGTGCTGAAAACACTGTTGCAAGCTACTATTTAAAATAGCTACTTTTCTATATTTATCAAGCTGCATACAATAATCAGGCTTGCTGAGGAACACGTTTAAACATAATTCATTTAAATTATCAAGTAAAATACATAGGATTTAGAAAATAAAATATGCCTGAAATTATGTTAAAGTGAAATTATTGAAGAAAATGATTGATTATATTCTTAAAATTTAGTATTTATTTATTATTAATTATTGTTACTAGACTATTATTAAGAAACAAGGAGGAAAAGACGGAGGATAAAATAAAGTATTAAAGGAAGGAGAGGAAGGGGAAAGAAATGAAAGAGGAAGAAAGAAAGAAAGGAAGAAAGGAAGAAAAAGAAAGAAAGAAAGAAAGAAAGAAAGAAAGAAAGAAAAAAGATACAAAGAAAGAAAGAAAGAAAGAAAAAGAAAGGAAGAAAAAAAGAAAGAAAATGAAAGAAAGAAAAAAGAATGAAGGAAGGAAGAAAAAAATGAAGGAAAGAAAAGAATTTACTAAGATATCATGATTTAGCTTAACACATTAGAAAAAATCGTGGAAAAACATGCCTTTTGAAATATTGCACTCATTAATTTATTTAACGACTATTCAAAATTTTTAAAAAAATTAATTGAGCGTTTACTACATACTGGGTCCAGTGCCAAGTAGTAGTATATATGGCAGAATTATGTTCCTTGCCGCTGGCTGAAGATCTAACAAAAAAGATTGTTTAGCCAATCCTAATTAATAATTCACTAGAAAGTCAGGTAAATTAAGATTTAAGATCTCCAAGTTCATAAAAGGCATTGACATAACAAAGATAATTTTTTAAAACAATCTTAACAATCACATTACATTTAGTTTTAAAGACAAAATCAACTCAATTACTCTAAACTTATTTAATTAAATTGAATTGTTTTCAGTCAATCAGGATCTTTCAGATGAGTGTTCATATTGCCATAATTTCCTGACACAACCTTAGCAAAAATGCTTCATCAGGATACTACAAATCTGGAGGATGCTCAAGCATTTACAACTACATACATGTACGAAACTCTTTACATTATTATTTCATCCAAACTGGATGTTAACTACGCCATACTGAAAGTTCCTACAACTTAAATATTTTTTTTTTTTAATTTTTTTTTTCAACGTTTATTTATTTTGGGGACAGAGAGAGACAGAGCATGAACGGGGGAGGGGCAGAGAGAGAGGGAGACACAGAATCGGAAACAGGCTCCAGGCTCCGAGCCATCAGCCCAGAGCCTGACGCGGGGCTCGAACTCACAGACCGCGAGATCATGACCTGGCTGAAGTCGGACGCTTAACCGACTGCGCCACCCAGGCGCCCCTCTACAACTTAAATATTTAAGCAATACACAAATTTGGATTTGGACCCAAGCATTTTCTTGGCTGAGGACTTTTTCCTCTTAGTAACTGTTTTCTAAAATACAGTTAGATGTGTGCTTATCCAGGAAAAGTGAATTCTGATACTCTTGAATCTTTTTGACAGCCTTCTACAATGTCAAACAAGTTGCCTCTATGTAATAACACTCAACAAAAGCATTTTAATGGCCAATTATGATCCTGTTTGAAACTTCATGTCTTATGATGGGGACTGTATTTTTGTTTTTGTTTATCTATGCTTTATTTTAATGACACATATCTATGCACATTACCAGAAAATTATTTAAAACAGGTGGATATCATTTAAATTGAGTACCCAGCATTGTGGATGTGTAAATGAAATGAAGATTGTTTTGTAATGACATTTTCTTTCCAAAAATGAATGGAACATATAGCACTAACATATAGCACTAATATTAAGTGATCTTATGGATAATATCAAAGCCTCTTACTTTTGCTTAAAACACATAATCATAGCCTGTTCAACATCTATTAATCTTCATTACAGTTTAGGTATAGTTTAGTTAAGTAGCAATTGAGTGACTGCTTAATAAACATCATTTGTAGACGTATTGATCCGGAGGGGTCAATTTAGTCCACTATACCTCTTTGGTTTATTTGACCTTTTGATTTGAATCAGGCGATAAATGTATACACTTGAGAAATTCTCATAAGTAAACTACTGAGTTAACTGCATGAATTCAGGAATTCAAATGGCACTAATATAATGCATTCATATTTATGATGACCCAGGCTTTATTTAAGTATGCTTTTATTTGCCAAAATCATGTGCAGAAAGTCCAAGGTGGCTTGGGAAAATTCATTATTTTGACTTTTGTACTAGGTCCTGTTTGGTTATTGAATACTGCTCAGGGCAATATGATATGATTAAAGGAACCCTTACCTCTTTTATGAAAATAGTTCCACAAATATGTAAG